CCTATTAAAGTAAAAGCACTCTTACTCTGGGACTTACCGCCCAGCAGATCCTCTATTCAGCTAACTACAGGAAAGGTCCTCACCGGCCTTTTCTCACAATCAGAAGGCGAATGGAGAGGCTGAGTGAGCTAAGCCCGCACAGGCTACAGTGTTTACAAACGGTTGGGAGAGGAACTCGACGAACAACAAATCCCGGGACTCGTGTGCACTCGCGAGGTGCTGCGACGTCATGTTGCTGTGGCACGAGTGATGACACACACGAATGACAGCTTCGTCAGGGTGCCAGGACTCCCACGCCTGAGAGGAAGACGCGCTGCACAGCAGCCGGTCCTGTATCCATGCGAATGGTCATTGGTGGGTTGGGCCATTCGGATGGCGAAGCGGAGGAAGGAGTTTTTGTCACTGTCTGTGGGTTTTCTTCTTCTGCAGCCGAGGTGCATCACTCAGCGGATGTGTTGATGTGAGATGGATCATGTGTCATATTCATGCGCCTTCCGCACCCTGCAGTCGACAATGGTGCTGTTCGGAGCCCAGCACATGAAGGGAGGGAATGCTACAGGGTGGCATGAAATGACACACGGACAGTTAACACACGAGAAGAAACATGACACTGAAGAGCATTTCGCCTCGTCATTGATGATATACCGCTGCGCTGATGAAGGGAGGGAGATGTCAGCATCTCTGCCGTGTTCTAGAATTGAGCAGCATTAGGGTAGGCGTTGTGAAACTGACATGCTAAGGTGACGGGCCTTATTGTGCCAAGTGAGTTAGGGAAGGACAAAACAGGAGCAAGATCGGGGAAAATGGTGTTAAAACTGAATGAGTTGGCATTGGACTGTTGAACTGTTGATTCAATGTTGCTTGGTAAAGCATTTTCATGCTCCAGTGTGGCCACTCGGGCCCTCTGGAGGTTGGCATAGTGTCCGTCGTTCAAAGTTACATCACTCACCCATTCTACTACTAGACACCGCTCCATCGGCACAACCACAAGCCGACCCGGGAGCAGAGCGAGGACAGAAAAACAATCATTTCCGGGGGCAACCTCCGGGTGAAAAACAACCATGTCGGTCTTCACTTCACGAACGTCGAGATGGCGCTGAGAGCACCATCCACGCGAAGGGATTAAGGCTCTATTGCAAGCCAGGACACGTATGAAGCAGAGCGAGATCAGCAGCATACAAAGGAACGACACAAATGTACGGTTTAGGACGAGAATTCTCAGAATGCGACCACCTCCCCAGGTAACCGTTCGTCCCGGTAGTTGCTATGATGCTGTCTTTGTTTTTTCTCTCTCTGCTCGCTTTTTCATACGCATACCGGATGAAGTATTGTGGAGTCTCCGACGAGTGCACGAGTAATGATCAAGGATGGCATGCCGGTCGTCCGCAACGGGGGGAGATACCTCAGGATATCGTTCAAAAGATCCGGCAACCATTCATCCCTGGCCTTGCACGGAAATATCAGCATTCCAATTCCTATTCGCTTGCCCCAATACATTGGTGGTACGAGCCGTCGCCTTGTCACTTTCCCCCTGTGTTGGTTCCTGTTAGGTGCCCCGGGGTCCGTTGGCTGTTTGTGATAACACCGACGTACAGCCGTGTGACACAGCGCCTTGATCTTGTGCGGTTTACCAATACTATCGGCCACGTTGAGAATTTGGTATCAGTTGCAGTGTCTCTCTCTTGCCCGTTCACCCCGCAACTGCATGTTTTCAGCATCTGACGTTGGTTGAGGATGCAGAAAGGCCCAGCAAGCGCATTGAGAGATTGTTGCACGACAGTCCTGTGAGTCATTGGTCGCACCTTCACTTTCCGACGGCTGGCCAATACCGTGTCAAGGGTGCAGAGCAGAGGAATGCAGCACTCGACTACATTCGCCATATGATTAACAGCGAGACTGACACCTACCTGCGAGAAGCCTATGAGGTCAGCATAAGGAAGAATTATTGTCCTGGGTTCGTCTGAGTGTTCGGACTGCGCTTTTTCGACGTTCAGGCCGGCGTGGTCTATTTCGCAGATGACGATAACGCGTACGACCTTCAGCTATTTGCAGAGATACGCAAAGTGAAGAGGATAGGAGTGTGGCCGGTGGGGTCTGTTTCGGGATTCCTCTTCCAGCGATGCGTCGTGGACGCAAGAACAGGAAAAATACGCGACTACATCCCTGTAAGGAGCGGTTGCCAGGCTTTCATCGGCTGATTTGCTCCTTCGGGGAATGCTTTGAGCAGTGGCGGGGAGCTAGGTATCCTATTGATACGTCAGGTGGGCCAGGGAGACACCCAAATGGGTTTCTAAACATACAAACAGTCGATACCTTCGCAGGATTTGGGATCCACGTTGGCTTTTTCCTTCCATATTCCTCAAACGCGCCGCGTTGGGACCCAAACTCTGAGAAGCGATTCGGCTTGGTATGAGAGACGACACGTTTGACTTGATGTAACCTGCTACTTTATTCTAGTGACGACAATCTGCGTAATAATGTAGGAAACAGACTTTCTCACCCAGTTTGGACTGCCGCTGAGTGACTTTGAGCCTCTTGCATCCAACTGTACCGAGGTGAGGACGATATGACAGGCCTTTTTTTTGGATATTACTGCATGAACTCCCATCTCAGGTGAATGTCTGGCATGTACGGACGGATCATCATGTGAGCAGCGACGGACTGATGAGACAGCTTGTGAACTTCAACGCCTAGCGTGCTTTCTACGTTGACACTTTTTGATTCTATCGAATACATGAGCTTTTTGTCCATCCAAACGCATCAGACGAAAGCCAAATACATCAGACGAATCTGACCCAGGGTATCACGCTTGGTGAGAACAGATGTGGTACCAAAGACCTCGTCCGCAAAATGTGTAAATCACGATCTACAATTGACATATATTTTCTCCTAGAAGGGTGTGTCTGTGTGCTAAAGCGTGCAGTCTTCCCATTTAACGGTTGTGACTTCGTGTGCCTACATGTACCCATATACGTACCCACGTCTCTCTCGTGGGGTGTGTGTGCATGAGCCACTGCCTGACTGTCCCCAAGATAATTGCCACTTTCAGTCATGCCTTTTGTCACCCCATTCTACCTGCTCAAGGAACGAAAAAGTCTGTCCTGCCTTCTGCTGTATTTCGCCCATCCCCGTACCTCTCCGCGGTTTCCGTGGCGTTTGCAGTGGGGAATTCGCACAAGGCTCGGAAGTCGTGTGTGCATACTTCATCGCCGATTGTGCCGTGCGGCAGGAGGGGCTCAAGAGGGGTGTTGAACCCCCTTGCTCCCGGCCAAATCGAGCTGACGTAGTATGTGCAGTTCTGACCCTCATGCCGAAAATTGTCGGGCTGCTTCCTGGGTTCGGGCCAGTAACTCGTTCCTGGGTGTCATAGACGTTTGAAGGGTTGCGGGCAGGCTTGCTGACCTACCGAAGAACCATGGCGCATCCCCTCCTTTTGGCTTGCTTGCGAATGTCCAGCAGCTGTGCTCAAACCGCTGGGTGGCAGGATGGCATTCCTGTGTGTGATGACAACGCAGTCGTGTAGGTGTGGCGATCAGGTGCCTGTGCATACCTGTCTCATGACGATACCGATTAGGAATATCATGTTCTTCATGGAGCCGCCAAAATCTCGCGTAGCATTAAACATAGCCTCCAAGTCAGCCTACGAAAACCGCCAACCAGTAAGACGACTCATTCGTTTCCCCCTCTCTTACCACAGAAGACGGTTCCGCGAGCTTGCCACCCCGTGCCCGACACTTCTTCTGGTGGTTGAAGTAGTCGTCATATTCGTGTTGTATCTCATAGCGAGCTCGTGTCATGTTGGGGGTCTCCATGCGGCGGGCGGAAAAGAAAGGAGGGACCACACGGTCACTGGTCTCTTTCGTCGCTGTGGCGGTCAGCATGTGCTTCTTGAGTCCAAAACCCAGATTCCTCTCTGGAGGGCTATCCTCTCCCATGATGGTCACGGTAGCGACTAAACTCCATCCTACGAGAAAACTCAAGAGGGCCATTTGTTTTTCGTACAAGACAGAAAAAAGAAATCCGTTACCGTTACAAATAGACGACCCCTTCCTTTTTCCGCTGAGGATGTAGACGATCCTCCGCGGCACAGGGTGTACTCCATGTGGTGCAATGTTTCGACAACCAAGAGGTGGAGAAACTTGTTGATGCAAGGGCCGTTCGTCAGTCGTATGGGGCCGTCGAGCCACATACGGACTCGTCGTATGCGTCGACAAACCGAACGAATGGCCACGTCCTTGTCAACGGTTTTGCCTTCACCCTCCCTTTCTCCCAGATGAGACTCATTCCGTCTTTCAAGACCGACTGCGACACCCGCAAGGCCGAGAAGGGACATTATGAAACAGGTATAATCATAAGCAAGGGCACCAGACGTATGCTGTCGCAAAGGGGATCGATAGATGCGTCGGCATGTGCATGGCCGAAAGGCACACGGAGACATACATGGATATACATGAATATCGCCAGTGATGCGACAAATGTATCAGGCAGGCACACGACATGCAGCACACTCATGGACGAATTCGATAGAATTCGAGGACGACGGAGCACTGCAATCCTCGCTGCGTATATATGTCATAAGTATGCACACGTGTTGAAGACGCTAGCGCCCTCAGTTTTCTCACACTGTGCAGGGGATACACGCCGCTCATGTGGATGTGTACATGTTTGCGTATACATATAGAGGACGCAGGGATGGAGGGAAAGAGATAAGGAGGGGTGGCTGCGCGTGCGCCGCTTTTTCTGCGTCCTCTCGACTGTCGCGCCAGTATCTCTTGTGGTGAACACGCTGTCCCTTTCCGGACGGACCGATATCGATTAGTGAACACACAGCTTTGGTGTTGCGTGTCTGCACGAGTGTTTGTACGTATCCGCCTGCCCACCTTTTTGGTGCAGAACTCGGCACAAAGACCATCAGTCACAGAAAGGACACTTGTGTCCTTTGGTGTAAGCAATCTGCCACCTCACTCTGCACCCTAGATGTACCGACGCCTCATCAGCGTGGTGCCCTTCTTGCTGATCGTTGCGGCTGCGCGCCCTGGGGTGACCCCTAAGGGACGCCTCGGTCTAGCCCTGGTTCGACAGGCGGTGCTGCGGATGTCGGTGCATGAGGGCACGTCCAATTCCTTCTCTCTCTCTCTCTCTCTCTCTCTCACTCACACATACACATGCGTGTGTCTGAAACAAACGGAATAATGAGCAAACACAATCAACACTTATGTATTTTCACCGTATATTGCTCATCATCTATTTCGCACGTTCTTCCGGGTCACCCACCGATGAAGAGGTGGCACGATTCAACACGGAACAGGTCCTCCATCAGCTGAACGTGTTGGGTATGGACCCTACCAGACCTAAGCTCAGAGATGAGAAGAATACGCCCAAGCCTTCTTCTAGCCTGGAGACTTTGAACAAGGACACCCCGTTCATTTACGCCCATCCTCTCCCCGGAGCCATCCTCGTGTCCCCTCTGACAACCATTGCCTTCAGGCCGAAGGACAAGGTGGACAGAGAAAGCATTCAAGGAAAGATAAGCGTGCGGGGCAATGTGTCTGGCGACCACGATGGAGAGACGCGGCTACTGAGCGACAGCCGGACAGTGTATTTCACACCAGATGAGGCCTTCACGCCTGGTGAGTCTGTGCGGGTCACGGTGAAGAAGGGAATCAGGACCGCTGAAGGATTGACTTTCCCCGCTGCCGAGTGGAGCTTCACAATGTCGTGGCGAGAGCTCGGTTCATATTTTGTCGCTAAGGAGAAAAGTCCAAGAGACGGCAAAGACCCACAAAATGGGCCCTCGCCATCAGACGCTTTTGACTGCAACGAAGCAGACGATTGGGCCAGTGGTGCCACCTACGCTCCGAACTGTGCTTACCGGACGCTCCCGAGATCATTTCCACGGATCCGTGTGACACCCCTTGGCAACCTCACCAAGCTCTCACCTGGATACATTTTCACTGCCTCACATGTAGCGTCCGGGAACGACGCCAACTTCCGCATGATAATTACTTCTCTAGGTGACCCGGTGTTCTACGGCAAGGGTTTTTTTTCGCGTTTCGCCCCGATACACAGCGACCAGCTGATGCTAGGAACTGAGACACAATCCCAAATTACTGGGGGGTCAGATTACGTGGAGAGACTCGAATTCGATGCGGCACACGGAGGAAAGCTGAGTGATCATGAGTTTCAGCTATCCAGGAGTGGCAATGGACTCGTCATCGTCTACGAATGCCACCCATTCAACGCAAGGTCGGTCCGGCCCGATATGCAGGCCCCATCAAACGAACAGGTTTGGATTGCTGGACCTGTCGTACAAGAAGTTTTGGCAACTGGTAAAGACATTGCTAAGTCTTTCAATGATGGGACGTACACGAATTTCGGTAGGTGAGGTCTTGATGGAATGGAGGGCTTGGGATCACATGCCTCGCATTTATTGGGACAGTCCCGTAGGTCTAAGCTCGGCTCGACAGGAGTATTGGGTCCGTGCTGCCGAGAGCTCGAGGTAGGAGTAGAGCGATTGATGGTGTGCAAGCACGCTCAATACGCAATCTTTCAGGCGTATATGGGATCTTGCACACGGCAACTCATTGGACGAGACGCAGGATGGCGCCATTCTCATTTCTATGTCCGTTCTTTTCGTACTTAGAGCACTTTGCGATCTCCTGCCTTTTCATTTTTCTGCAGGAGAAATCTGAATCAAGTCGTCAAAATAGAGCGGTAAGTGATGGAGTGCTGTGGACGTCTGTGTGCAAATGTAAATGGGGTTGTAGGGATACGGGCAAGGTCATCTGGCGTCTCGGCGGCAATGGGGGTGACTTCAGGTCATTCGCGAACCATTCATTACATCAAATTAGGAGAATGATTTGTGATTCAACTAACCTGGCAATTGGTCTGGTTGTCAGGATTCTTGGCGATCCAAATGGCCAATTCATGGGACAGCACGACGCCCGACAGTTCGGAGACAACGTGGTCACTGTTTTTGACAACAGCTGGAACAACGTTTTTCACCACAGCTGGAAATCGGGTGCTCGTGCTGTTGATTATGAGTTGGAGTTCGACCTCGACGGCAGCCCCAGAGTCGCTCGGTTGGTATCCTCATATGAACCCGGATACAAATCGCGAGTGATGGGGAGTTACAGACGGCTGCCCGATGGAAACAAAATCATATGTTTCGGCCACCACTGGCCTCCGGGTCACACGATGATGTATGAAGCCCCTCCTTTCTATGTCGAGACAGAGCAAGATAATCAAGAGCTGATACGAATGGAGTGGGCATTCCCCTCACTGGGCTCGTATCGCTCAATCAAGGCTCCCTGGATCGGCGCACCAAAGTGGCCCCCGACGGTCCTTCTGGATGACAACAACCCTACCAATGCACTGCGCCTTCATTTTAGCTGGAATGGAGACACTCGAACGCATGTATGGCGGATTGTTACAGGTGAGAGCGATGACGAGCTGACTGCCGTGTTTGCCGAAGTCGAGAAGCAGCAATTCGAGCACTGGGTTGAGGTGGGAGGTAAAAAGTGTCAGTACTTCCAGGCTGTCGCCCTTGATGGTAAAGGCAAGGAGCTGGGCAAGTCGGCAGTTGTGCTCCCACCGGCCTGTTCGCGTTAGAGGGATGGTGGCGACCCGTACAAAATTCTAAACCTAGCAGGGCGCTTCGTTCCTGTGTGGACATATGAACGAAGCATGTTTTTTCTGCGCGTTGTTTTCTTGTTCAGTCGAGGTGGGACTTTCAATGAACTTAGATAGTACATCTTGCATGGGTGTGAGACACCAGAGGTCTCTCACATGCACGTTGCGATGGTATCTCGCTGCGCTGATGGGAACGGGATGGGGCGCGCTCACTTTTTCTTTCGTGTTTGTCGTTCCCTGTATGGCATTACATGGATTAACAACAATGCCATACAACAATGCGAGAGGCGTGGGCGTGACTCGGCTTTCAAGATAGCCAACACGGACCATACAGTCTTATCGGGGGGATGCAAAAAGAGCACATGAAAACCTCATGCAGCGGGCCCTACAGATTGGCGGTACAAAAACCTCCGTGCCTGTATGGACCGTGCAAGACCAGAGCGTCCGGCTGCCTTCCCTCATGAATCGGATGCTCCCAGGAGACATGCCAGACAGCTATACTAAGATTCTCTCCGCCGGCAGCCTTTTTGCTCTGTACGGACAATAAACTGGCCTTCGAAGATGATTTTCCCTCCTGCAGACTGCAGTTCGCCGTTGGTACGTCGGAAGGCGGTGAGACGCTGTTTCGGGCCTGTCAGGCCTTCGAGAACGCCTTCACCAGCATCGACCGCCAGGCGATCCTCGACGAGCTCGGCACAAAGTGGCCATCCCTCGTCGACTTTTCACCCGGTGGATGATGCTCTCAGCGCCATCTCGACGTTTTTCACCCGGAGTTTGCCCCCGGAAATGATTGTTTTTCTGTCCTCGCTCGTAGCACCTTCCTTCGGCACTAAGCGCGCAGACAGGCCCCCCCGGCCCCTCGCAGACGCTCGGTGCAACCAACCGATCGGGAATAGTTGACTGAAAGCGAGACACTCGCGGGCGTGTATGTGTGCATGGGCGACTGGCAAACACAGACACGACAACAAGGCCCTGCATCGAAGAGGACGGCGGCGAGCTTCAGTGAGCCCGCAGAAGTAGACGAAAGCAGGCCGAGTCAGTGCTGTGTGTCCCCCCCCATTCCGCTTTCGGGGAGAGGGAAAGGGAGGGAGGGTAGACAGAAACCTGAACACTGAACAGTAGAGAGACACGCACCGCACAAACATGAACCTGACACACGAAAACGCAACCAGTCAGCCGCCGCCCGGAGGGTAGGAAGCAGGGCGGCAGCTCCTTCTCTCCCGCGCTTGTAAAATACTGTGGGCGGATAAGTGGTGCTTGGATAAGTGGGAATATCGTTAAGTGGTGCGATGTCCTGTGAAACCCAGGGGTAGCCAAGGGAAACCTTGGTGAACCTGACTCGCCGCTTTGGTCTCTGCAGGGTGTCCTGCAGTGCTGCTAGCCTCGTCCGAATGAATGCCTTGTGTGTGTTCGCTCATGAGGACGCTCGAATGAACGAATGAATGAATGATCGGGTCCCTCCCTCCTCGAAAGAGTTCGTCGAGGCGCATTCGCGGCGTTCGTAGGTGATAGAGTAGGAAGGGGGCTGCGGCGTTGCAACGCTTTCGATTGTTGCGCAATCCGGAGGTGGCAATTGTTACGAGGTGGCATTTTAAGCCGAATGAGAGAATGAATCCAACCACCATTTGCTCCCGTCTCCGGCTCACTCTCAGTGAAGTTCTCAGGAGATTGACGCTTCGCTGATAAAGGGAGGGAGGTGTTCTAGCAGCACCGACCTCGTCCGGTATCGGACACTGTAGCGCGTAAAAGCAACGCGTCCGACGAAGAAATGAGGCGGGGCGTCGGAAAAGCCGTTGGAAAGAAGGCTGCATGAGACAAAGACGGGATATGCAACGTGTACGAACATTCTGTAGAGAAAAATCACGAATGAACATTGCAAATGCGTAGGCCATTCTTTCCTGGCAAAGGACTGGCTCTCAGAGGCAGCCCGAAGGCTATCTGGACCATACCCACCGTATGGTCTGAGCAGAGCACAAGACAACCAACTACAGCCTCATCAGAAGGCTGGAAAATAATAAACAAATAAATGCGAGCTTTAGCGAGCTTGAATAAAGATCGAGGGGAATAAAAATCTAGGGGAATAAAAATCTAGGGGAAGAGAGAGATGATTAACCGATCGCATCCATGCACTCATTTGTCCACACACCGTCCCGATGAATCTATCCACATATGCCTATGCACATAGGTCATGCTCACTCATTCGATGAGAACACCCCAGCCCCGTCCATCGCCCCAACACCACGCCATGACTGCCTCCCGCCCCTCAAACACAGGCTAGCAGCCCGCACCAATGCAACAGACAAACGAACACGCAGCCACCCATGCACTCGCCCTCGCCCCCTATCTGACCACCCTTGCCTCGTCAACAGCTGCTCAGTCAAGCGGGTGAAGAAGTGCTCCGCCTCCCTCCCCCACACCCCATCGACGGTGACGACCAGAGGGGTGAAGGTCATGGACAGGTCCTCGCAGACGCGCACATGCTTGTTCTTCTTTCTGTGCTCGTGCGTCGCCAGGATGGATCGCGTGGGGCGGTTGCCGTATGAGGGAGCATCAGCGTCAGTGACGCACACGTCGAACGATGCATCCCTCTAGCGGTCCCACACACCACGGATCACCAGGTCCGTCCTGACCCCCTCCCTTCCCCGCCCATCCCCCTCCTTCAACACCACCTCCTTGTGGACGCTCCCTGCCCCAAAGGCCATCCTGCCGACATCGCCAATCACGTCCCGCAGCTCGTTCTGTCGCTGAATCACCAGCCCGCCCTTCGGGCAGTCCAGGGCATGGGTGAGGGTGAAGGCGGAACCACACCCTGGGCAGCTGGAGGGGAGGTTGGATGGGCGGTAGCCGTAGAGAACAGCCAGGCCGTCCCGAAAGGCATCGCCGCTCAGGTCGGTCTGGTCGCTGCACGACGGCATGGCCGTGAGCCATGCGTGCGTCTTGGCCTCCTGCGCGCGCCGAGCAGCTCGCTGGCATCCTGGGGGAAGGCGGGAGACGCCGTCGTCGAAGCGCTCCTTGGCCCGTGCGTCCGCCCTCCTCTTCCCTTCGTGAATGGCCGTGTGCACCTGAAGGCGGTGGATGGACGGGTCGAAGGGCTGGTCTGGATGAGTGCCGCGCTGAATGGCGATGGTGAGCACGTCGGTGCCCTGGATGGACGTCTCGTACGCCTCAGCGACCCGCTCGGTCGGATCGCGCACCCCCGTGCCGCCATGCCGTGCCGACAGCAGCATGACCGCGGCCTCAGCCTCGTCGACGGACTTGCCGCAGAGGCCGGGCAGGTAAGTCGTGGCGAGTAGGTGGCGAAGGGGCTCGAAGGTCTCCTTCTCCTCGGGGATGACGCGCATGACGAAGTCCCACTCGGCCTGCAGCGACTTGGTCATGACGACGTGGGCCTGCTGCGGACGCTTGGTCGCGGCGCGTGCGACGTCCCTGATGCACTCCTCCCACCGCTCCACCTTCTGCTGCACATACGCGCGGCGGCCCTCCCTTGTGCCGACGTAGCCGCCCAGGTACCGGCTGCCTGTCGTGATGGTCAGCCCCTCCACCCCCTCAAACACCTCCCGCGCCCTCTCCTCCAACCCCTCTCGCACCACCAAGATGGACTTGTGTGCGTTGGGAAAGTAGCCGTACGGCGGCCCCCTCTCACCAAGCTTGTCCCACCACTCACTCGCCCGCTCGAGGGAGCTGCACTTGGACGAGTCGTCCGCGAACCACACCTGTGGCCCCTGCTCTGCTGGCTCCTTGAGGCTGCGGATGAGTGGCAGGGTGCCGGCGGCATACATCGGCATGGCCATCGGATCGCCCTGAGTGGTCCCCTCCTGACTCCACAGCGGCTCCTTCTCGCCCCTCAGGTAGAGCGCAGCGTGGCCCTGGTAGGTGTTGAACAGGAACCGGGACGCACGTGGCCACAGGTGCCGGGCACTCCAGAGCGCTGCAGGGCGACTGAGGGTGTTGAAGGCGTTCGTCGCGTCCCCGAGCAGCACACACTCCGCCTCCCCCTCACCACAATCAAACAGGCCGCTCACGGCATGAATCGCCGCCTCTATGCCCCCCTTCAGGCCGGCACACAGCTGGTCCTCGCCGCACTCTCTCTCCAAGTCGAATGCGCTCTCCATGCTCATCGCCTTGCCCATGATGCGCATGAGGACCTCCCCTACACCGATCGGGCGGACACCAGGGCACTTGTCGAGGGCCAGCAGACGGCATCCACGCAGGGCTTGGACGTGCTCCCAGTCCACCACCTCGTTGGCCATCATGCGGGTGGCGTCCGCGACCGCCTGGCGCAGCCGAGTGCTGTGGCCGCCGTGTTTGAGCAGGAGGTCCTTCCACAGCGTTGCGTCGCCCCCCGATGGCCCCACCCCACCCTGGATCTCGCGTGCAGCCCGCTCGACCTGGTTGGCCGTTATGTCGACCCCCACAAGTGGCGGGAGATCACCATCGATGAACGCCGCGGGGTCGGCGGTCCGCTGCTGAGGATGCTTGTCCGCCAGCACCTCCCGGACGGTCCTGGTGTCGTTCTCGGCGACGTCTTGTGGGTCCAGCACACCACCGCCCCCACGCTCAGTCAGGAACCGCTGTGCCTGTCGCAGGCGCCCCTGATCCACCAGCCGGCTGAAGACACGGATGGTGTGCTCGTTCTCGTCCTCATCTCCCTTCAGCGGCTTCAACGGCGGGCCCAGCTTGTCGCAGCGCTCGGCCTCGAGCACGAGCTCCTCGACCTTGCCCTGCCGCCACATGGCGATGCGCCTGTCGACGACCCGCCGCCTGTCCTTGAATGTCGTCACGTGTGGGTGCCGCTGGAGGATGACGGCCTTGCCGACGAGGATCACCTCCGAGGGGCAGGCCTTGGCCGCATACTGCTCGACAGCATCCGCCACAACCCCCACCACCCTATCCCCCACATTGCCTCCGGGCACCCCGAAGCGCCTGCCGCTGAGCTGGCAGATGCGGCTGTGCCACTTCTGCCACTGAGTGGCATCCTGGTGCCCAGGCCGGTTGAGCATCGGCCGTCCGAAGGCCTGCTCCATCTTCCCGTCGATGAATGCGGTGTCGATCGGGGATGCGGAGGGTGCGAGCGAGGGGTGCCGGGGAGGCGGGACGGACGTGGGCGGCGCAGCGCCCTCTGCAAGGCAGATGAAGCACGCTGCGTGTCGAGAATTCGGAAGCGGCCGGCGACCGCATCGCGGGCAGAGCTGGGTGTCCGGGGGCTGCGATGGTGGCGATGGCGATGCTGCGGCACCTGCTGGGCCTTGGCCTTGGTTTACGCATCTTCCCTGCCCCATTGGCACACAGTTGCGGCAGATCCTGTTGTTCCTCCTGCAGTCACAGTTCTTGCACTGGCCTCCGCGTGGGTTCCCTTTGCTGTTGCATGAGCAACAGGGAGCCGCGGCGGTCGCCTCAGGTGCTGGCTGCGCTGCTGGAGCCTCGCGGTCTGCATCAGAGTCGTCTCCCGTCCTGAGTGCTTGATCTCGTCGCCGCCACAGAGACGCTCTCGCCGACCGTTGGATCACTCTCGCCGCTGAGTCCTCATTCATCTCCACTGGGGTCAACGCACAGCCCTACCCGAGGGCAAAGCACGAGGGTGCATACCTGAGGGCAAAGCACGAGGGTGCATACCTGAGGTGCTTTGCATACCTGAGGGCAAAGCACGAGGGTGCATACCTGAGGGCAAAGCACGAGGGTGCATGGAGGGTGAGTTCAATCCTCGGAAGGGCGCTTTTGCTTCTCCATGCAACGTCCGTGGCTGCCGTGTGCTCAGCGGGAGAGGCCGGGAGCCTCACACGACAAATCGCACATCTGCGTATGCGTCGTGCCGAGGCGGACCAGATGGCAGTGACCTCGGTGCGTCATGTGGCCGGAGAGAGGAGAGAACACTCGTGAGCCTCCCACATCGTTTTTTTTTGTTTTCTGTTTAGGGGGGAATAAAATTCGAGGGCGAAAGACTTTCGAAAGATTTGCATTGCTTCTTCAGATCAGATTTTTCGGACAAACTTGACAGAATCGTTGACTTTGACAGATTTTTCGTTTTCTTTGCATATGATGGACATAATCGTCAATGTGTGTGCATCCCCCGCCACCCTGTGTGGCAGCGTTCATTGAAGAGACGTGCGCGACCGCCAGTGGGCGTACACAAGCAACCTCAGCCTCAGCAAAGAGAGACATCATCTCCACATTGCGACCAGGTGACTCAGGTGAGCATCAAGCTTACGCACTGACTTCAAAGTGCGAGAACTTTAAGCGAGGGTAAGCACAAGCGACACATCACTGACAGACAGTCGCACCAAGCGAACGACAGACACACCACCCGTCGCGACAGGACGCCAATCAATCGACCACCAACCAAGGAGGGAGCCCTCGTGCACAATGCGAAAGGCAAAAACTTTCGTTTTCACTATCCTCCGATCCATCGCAACTAGCAGGTCCTCTCCTTTACCTGAAGTTCATAGCAACTATGTCACGCTTCGGACAAACCCACATGTGTTTGCCCTCTTCTTCCAAAGTTCCTTGACTTCAAAACAGTTTGCAAGCGATGATTGCAAAGAGTGCATCACTTGCAGAGCTTTGTGTGGACTACTTCCGATCGGCTCATTTCCTTCCCCTTTTCATTGAGAGCCACAGCTTGAAAGTACTGGCACTTCTTGCCTCCGTCCGGAACGTCGACCCAATGTTCAAACTGCGTCTTCTCGATTTCTACGACAGCTGTCATGTCATCACCACCTGGACCCATAATAATCCGCCAAGTCTTCACTTCCGTGGCTCCGTTCCAACTGAAGTGCAGCCGGAGAGTATTCGCTTTGTTGTTGTCATCCAGGAGAGCTGTCGGGGGCCACGCAGGGGTCCCGATCCAAGGAGCTTTGACCGTGCGATACGTCCCATGATACCCTCTGTACAGACGCGAATTCCATTCCATTCTAACCAGTTCGCGACCTCTGGAATCCCTCTCGATATAAAAAGGATTTGTCCCAAGGGTTTTTCTCTTTTTCTTGGTCACCCCCAAACAATACACACCATTGCCATTGGGCATTCGCCTGTAGCTGCCTTTCGCGCCAACCCTGATGCCTGTGTCGTACTCGTTCACCAGCCGGGCCTTAGTTGGCCGGCCATCATGATCGAAGTACAAATCGTATTCAACAGCTCGGGAGATGACCGTGTCTGTTTCATTGATTGTTCTGAGCCGGTTATCAAAAGCGCTGATCCGGTGTTTGCCCTCTGGTGTGCCCAGGTCTCTCACGTCGTGCTGTCCCCGAAACTGTCCCTTCGCGTCATTCACGATTCTACAGAAAGCACACAATTCAAGCTTTCTTCACCTCCAAACCCAAGCTGACCTGAAGTCGCTCCCATTCCCACCGAGACGCCACAACAGTTCGCCCGTGTCTCTGGAGGAAAAGAGGAGGAAGAAGAGAAGGGGGGTGTAAGTGGACGAATAAATTCTCTCTGAAACCTGTGGATTTTTGCAATCTGCGACATTCTCCTCATTCTGAAACGTACAGGAAAACCATCACGCTTGTCGTCGATTCGAGCAAGACAAAGCTCACGAAAGCAGGATATGGCCATCGTGAGCTTCCTCCATTGCATTTGCGTGCAACAGATGCCACCACCCGCGAGCGCGCTTTTCAGTTTCCCACAGAACGAGCGGCAGGTGGTCCCAGGATCTCCACTCGAACACGACTTCCCCTGTCGGGGTGATCTCCTCAACTGTAATGCCGACAAGAGGTTTCTCTCCTTTGTCGTTCACATGGAAATCATCAACCTTCAGTATCTGGGTATCCCAACTAATTCGTAGTGTGAAAGGAAAAAAGAGGCGAGGACAAGAAATATCAATTTGGCAAACACCTCTGGGCTTACTTACGCGAACAGCAGTCCATTGCCAATTTTTGTCAGTTGAAACTCGTGCGGATTCATGGCTGCAACACAGGCATCGCAAGCGGCACCCTTTGTTCAAATGCCTCAGAGAGCCCTTACTTCCTCCGTGTTTGGCAGAGAATCGTGCTCGCTCGGCATAATCAGGACCGAGAATCTTCGCGCCCCATGCGTCTACCCACTGCGTGAGCTGCCCGTTATGCGTAGGCGCGAGGTTATACGGACCCGTCTTTCGATGAACATGATAGACTGGATCACCGCGCGACGTCATGATGATTTGAAAGGCTTGAGTTGGTTTTCCAGGTTCCGGCCCTTGCGTGAACACGTAGCCATCTGACAATTCTGTAAGGTTGCCTTGAACAGTCACTTGCACACGGGGGTACTCCGAAGGGAGGGTCCTAGGAGTGAATGCATGCAAAAAATCAGACTATTCCGGAATGAATCACTCATTCACCGGTATGCGCAGTTGGGAAGGTAATAGTGGGCCTCATTCGCTGAAGGCTCCCCTTCACCACAATCGAGGTCGTCGATGTCGTCCACATCGTCTGCCTCTGTTCCTCGCTGATCAACAGCGGGGAGGCCCAACAACCAATTGATATCTTGGGCCTTTCTGAACATTTCCAGCGTCTCAGGCGAAGAAGCCTCATTGGCGGCATTTTCTGGCAGTTTGATCCGTCTATCCCGGCGGTAAGTGTCCAACTTTCTCCATGACATGGTGAAGTTCCATGAGGAGGAAGGGAATGAATATCCCTCTTCGGTCTTAATTCCCTTCCGCACCATTACGCTGACAGACTCGCCAGGCATGAAGGCCACCTCCGGTGTAAAGCATATGGTTCTTTTGTCGCTGAGAAGCTTCGTCTCTCCCTTGTGGTTGCCAGAGACGTCCCCTTGCACATCTATCTTGCCCTTGATGCTGTCTTTGTCCACCGCGTCCTTCGGTCTGAAGGCGATAGTTGTGTACGGCGAGACCAACACAGCGTTGGGCAGTGGATGAGCATAAACGAAGGGAGTCTCCTTCCTTAAAACCTCTAGGTGCATAGAGGGCTCGGGGGAATTCTTAGGGCCATCTTCCTTTCTGAGATTCGGCGGTCCCTTCTCAAGGTCGATGCCCATGGCTTTCAGTTGACTTAGAACTTGCTCGCTGTTCCGCTGCGCCACTTCGCTATCAGGGATAGCGCCACTCCGACACCCAAGTAAGCAAAATATGCACAGCGGAAAGAGAGGGAGCGACATTTCGGATTCGTTGCCTACACGAATATTTCGCACCACCAGGAGGAAACAAGTGCAAAACTGGTATTCCAGCTCCAAAACCGTTTTGGGACCGGAAAACCAGACACCCCCAACGGAAAACCAGACACGCTGTACAGAAAACCGGACCTGCTGTGCAGAAAACCAGACACTCGGTACAAAAAAACCCGGTTTTGCGATAGAAAACCAGCTGCCCGGTACAGAAGCTCAGCGGGCCCCAGCCTACGACTGCCGAGCGTCGCCACGGCATCGATCTCCTCAACGCTGCCGCGCCGAGCGACTCGCTCGTTACCCGAGCATTCCCCAGCAGGGTCTTGCGTCGGTGATCCGGAAGGGTGCGGACTCGCAAAAGACTCGGGAGGGGGGGGGGGGGGGG